GAGCCGCAATAATTCAGTTTTTGATGAAATCAAACAAAGTTCAATTTTGGACCCTTTGGACCACAATGTAGACCAATTTAAAAATGGGGCCCAATATCCAAAATAGTAATACAAGGTTAGAACCCTAAAAAATTAATGACTTAATTTAATCCCAATGAAATTGGTTAAAAGATTTGTATTTATTTTCAATTGAAGATTTCTTGCTATTGCGCAATACTGTGCTATTGCGCAATACTGTGCTGTTGCACAATACTTAGTTGATCTGTTATATATAATAATTTACACACCCTGTTTGGTGTGTATCTCCTGCCATGTCAGAATGTGATGCTTTTATATATAAATGAGAAATAATCAATGTAAAAATTGAAAATTTTTAGGAAAGAAAAAACAAAAAAATTATGAAAAAAAAATATGCCCTGAAAAAATTTCCCCCCCCCCCCAAAAAAAAATTTTTGGAAAAATTTTGGAAAAAAAAAGTATGGAACCCCAAAAAAAATTTAAAAAAAAAAATCCCCCCCCTAAAAAAAAATTTTCAAGAAAAAAAATATGAACCCCAAAAAAGAATTAGAAAAATAAATCCCCCCAAACTTTTTGAACCCCCCCAATTTTTTTGAAATTCAGGAAAAATTTCCATTTCAGAGAGTTCCATAAACTTTAACACAAGTTATTGTCTGGAAACTAGAAAAATGCTTGTTTTTGGCCCCTTTTTTGCCCATAATTTCTAAACGTTTGGGGCAATTACCCCCAAACTCAATCCCAGCCTTCCTGTTGTTGTATGGAACCTTGTAGTACAATTTCAGAGAGACCCATACACTTAAACACAAGTTATTGCCTGGAAACTAGAAAAATGCTTGTTTTTGGCCCCTTCTTTGCCCCTAATTCCTGAACGTTTGGGGCAATTACCCCCAAACTCAATCCCAGCCTTCGCTTTGTGAAATGGAACCTTGTGGTACAATTTCAGAGAGATCCATACACTTACACGCAAGTTATTGTCCGGAAACTACAAAAATGCTTGTTTTTGGCCCCCTAATTCCTAAACTATTGGTACCATAACCCCCAAAATCAATCCCAACCTTCCTTTTGTGGTATTGAACCTTTTTGTAAAATTTCATAGAGATCCATTCACTTCAACAAAAGTTATTGTCCGGAAACCAAATGTGTCTTCGGACGACGACGACAACGCCGACGACAACATGATAGCATTATACGGACGCAAATGTTTTGCGGTCGTATAAAAATGAAAAAAAAAATGGTAAAATTTGTCATTTAAGGACAATAACTCCTATAAGAAGTCGTCTGACAGTTTTGACGTATATGAACAATTGGTAGAGCTCAACATTCTGAACATATCTGCTCCCGTCAGATTTTCTTTAATTATAACGGTTTTCAAAATAATAGACAAAACTTGCATTTTATCCTAATGTTCTGTTTTTAGCCATGTCGGCCATCTTGGTTGGAAGGCGGGGTCATCGGACACATTTTTTAAACTAGATACCCCAATGATGATTGTGGACAAGTTTGGTTAAATTTGGCCAAGTAGTTTCAGAGGAGAAGATTTTTGTAAAAGTTAACGACGACCGACAACGGACGACGGTTACCAAGTGATGAGAAAAGCTCACTTGGCCCTTCGGGACAGGTGAGCTAAAAACACATAATTAGTTTCATGATATGTATTCAACTTAGAATTCTGCACCATCTCAAAATCCTGAGTGATCACATAGAAACAGCTGAATTAAAAATAAGAGTACATACAAGGTCAGAGGTGCATGTGCAGCTTCCCTTAAAAGGAGTAATACCACCATTGTTTTCCTCCTATTATTCTTTGTTAAATTGGTATTTTTCAAAAAATTGTGCAGAATTTATCTTTGTCTTACATAAAGAAATACTTGGCATGAGTAAAATTTCATCCTGTCCAGTACTGAAGTAAAAATTTCACATGCCTATTCATTGGATATAAGATAACAAGCATTTTGAGAGTATTGCATGGTAATACATAGTCACCTACCATTTAAAAATTCATTGTACTTGAACAAAATGCTAACTTGATTTATAACTTGTCATGGTGTAAACTATATATCAAATATCAAATCAATATCTTCAGGCATGACGAAAAAAAGTACAGAAAACTGATAACTTGCTGGAATTTTCCAAGTCAAAGGACTACAACTCTGCACAAAATCATCAGGCCGGAACAAAATTCAAACCTGATCTGTAACTGGCCATGATGAAACTATATATCAAATATCAAATCAATATCTATAAGCACGAAGAAAAAAGTGTGGAAAACTGATTTGCCGGACTGACGGATAGACAGACAGACGGACGGAGTGCAAACCTATAGTCCCCTTCGACTTCGTTGGTTGGGGACTAATTATCATCACTGTAATTAAACCAATCAAATTTTCACCCCTTTTTTTCCTTTTTACAAGCTTTAGTAACAACGTCACCTCAAGTTTCCAAAATATTTTATAGAAACACCAAATAAAAAAGAATGGTGCTTTGAAACACCCAAGATATATGTTTATGACTGAGAAATTTTTTTCTGCAATGTAATGCAGGTTTAACTTCCTACAACTGTCAAATTCAAGAGACATTTTTTCATTTCATATGAAACCAGGTGTGACGTACTGATTTGGTGGTATTAAACCTATATAAGGTGCCAATATTTTCCCTTTTTCTTGATTATTATGTACTGGCTTTAAAATTGTGTTCTTTTGTTACCTCAGGATGGATAATTTACACAAATTGAGAAGTCTACAGTTACAAACACTTATGTTGAGAACAATAAAAAATACTTTTATGTCAAACAATCCATCTTGATGTACAAAAAGTACACCTCAGGATGGATAAAGTGTTACTCATTTTTACGTCAATAACAATAAAAAGTGCCAATATTTCTTTTTTTTTTAATAATATTCATGTACTAGTTGATAGTTGAGTACTTTTTATATCTTGGGATGGATTTTTTTATATCAAAGGGAAGGAATTATTTCGATAGATTTTTTTTTATAAAAAAAGAACAGAGTTCTAATGTCCCCCGCGTTGCACATATTTTATCTATCCAAGGTACAAGGGCAATAACTAAAAAAAACACATTTTTTTTTTGTTCTTTATAAAACTTTTTTATTAATATCTTAAGAGAAATGAAGGCTTCAGAGCAAATGCAATGTGATTTCCATTATAATTTATATTTCTAAGGGGCATAACTCGTTGAATTATTTGATCAGAACTTATTTTCGAAAGTGTCAAAGACATTGCTGATATAAACCTATGATATAAGTTTCATAAAATTCTGGCAAGAATTGAACACATGAGAGCGATAAAATTGTAATTTTCCATATAATCAATATTTTCAAGGGGCATAACTCTTTTCAAAATAATTGATCGGCACTGATTTTTGAACTCTTCAAGTACATTGATGATATAAACCTATAATATAAATTTCATAAAAATCTGGCAAGAATTGTACACATTAGAGCGCTCATAAGGCAATTTTCCATATAATTAATATTTCCAAGGGGCATAACTCTTTTAAAAATTATTGATCGGCACTGATTTTCAAATTCGTCCAAGACATTGCTTTTATATGCCTATGATTTAAGTTTCATAAAATTCTGGCAAGAATTGTACATATGAGAGCGCTAACAATGCAATTCTCCGTATAATTTATTTTTCCAAGGGGCATAACTCTTTTAAAAATAATTGATCGGCACTGATTTTCGAACTCGTCCAAGACATTGCTAATATAAACCTATGATTTATGTTTCATAAAACTCTGGCAAGAATTGAACACATGAGAGCGCTAACGATGCAATTTTCCATAAAATTAATGTGTCCAAGGGGCAAAACTCTTTTAAAAATAATTGATCGGCACTGATTTTTGAACTCGTCCAAGACATTGCTAATATAAACCTATGATATAAGTTCCATAAAAATCTGGCAAGAATTGAACACATGAGAGCGCTAACAAGACCTAAAAATCTATAAAATCTATAAAACATACCTTTATTTATCAAAATATTTAATGAACAGTAAATTTCAAACTATATTTATACATCATTTCTAAAATTAGAATATGATGCTATATCTTATTCTAAACTATGAATCTACTAACAATTTCTATTAATTGTGCAATACAGCTCTGAATTTGAATTGTGATTAAATATTTGACATTGAATAGGTTTCTGACACAGAATAAATGTAGTCTAAGAACTTAAAAAATTGAAATTGGACTTTAAATTATTATGGTCCAATATCCAAAATCTTAACCTAACGGTTTGAGCCATAACCCCCAAAATCAATCTCAACCTTCCTTTTGAGGAACTTGTGGTACAATTTCATAGAGATCCATACACTTATACACTAGTTAGTGTCATGAAACAAGAAAAATGCTGGTTTTTGGCCCCTTATTCCTAAATAACATGTACACCTTACTGAACAGACGTTTACTAGTAAGAGTAAACATTAGAAATTTCCATTTTGAACGCGTTAACTTAATTATAGTAAACAAGTGTCAATTAGAAAACGAGAAAATTGGAGATAAAAAATGAAATATATGCATGCAGCAATAACATGCGTTTACTTTATGTTATGCTTAGTCTGCACCCAACTATATGGTGCTAATGAGTAAAAAATATGCGCCAAAAATTCATATAACTATATGTATTCAAAATACATGTACTGACCAAATAAAAGAAAATTTGTCCTTCAGTAGTGTGTTTTAATTATTACGTTTTGCTCTGACAATATGTGTCATTATTTAGTTTTGGTACATAACCGAGTTAAATATTTTGTCAAGCTTAATTAACAAATTAATGATTGGCTTATCAAGGAAAAATTTAAAGGCCCATTTAATAAACTCTTAAGAGAACAGTAGCTACTGTATTTATACAATGGAACTCACAAACATTTAAATAGCCTAACAACGAGGAACTCACTCTGGGGAATTTAAAAGGTTTCATTTTTTTGCAATAATCTTAAGAATATGTCAAAATGAATACCTTGACTCCTTCTGTTGACTTTATCGAGTTTATCATGAACATAACCAGTTTCTCCATGTATGGTACCATTTCTTGTTGTAGTAATGATGACAAGGCAGCAAAAAGAGAATATCTACAATTAACACATAATGGTTTTTTAACAAAATAAATAAAACACCGTTATATTCTTTTCAGCACATGTACATGGTCTAAACTACAGGTTTAAATTATATGAAATAACGTAATAATTGCAACTAGAAAATCATGTTAAAATAGATTAAAATCATAACAGATACCCTAATAATGAGTGAGGCCAAATTTGGTTTAATATTGGCCCTGTAATTTAATAAAAAATCCTGGTGGCCATCTTGAACAGTGAATCAGCAACAAAGTAGCAACACTTCATCAGCACCTCATAAGAAACATTTATGCCATGTTTGGTTTCATTCCATTCAGTGCACCTCTAGAAGAAGCATTTGTATGTATTTCAAATAGGGTCATATGTTAAAGGAAATCCCTCGCTGGCGGCCATCGTGGATGAAGGATCAGCTTCAAAGTAACAACACTTAGTCAGCACCTCATAAGGAACATTCATGCCATGATTGGTTTCATTCAATGGTTCTCTAAAAGAAGACATTTGTATGTATTGTCCATAGGGTCCTTTGTTAAACATTGTCCCCAGCTGGTGGCCATCTTGGATGATGGATCGGCTTCAAAGTAACAACACTTGGTCAGCACTTCATAAGGAACATTCATGCCATGTTTGGTTTAATTCCATTCAGTGGTTCTCTAAAAGAAGACATTTGTTTGTATTGTCCATAGGGTCCTTTGTTAAACATTGTCTCCAGCTGGTGGCCATCTTTGATGATGGATCGGCTTCAAAGTAACAACACTTGGTCAGCGATTCATAAGGAACATTCATGCCATGTTTGGTTTCATTCCATTCTGTGGTTCTCTAAAAGAAGACGTTCGTATGTATTTCCCATAAGGGCCTATGTTAAACTAAGTCCCCCGCTGGCGGCCATCTTGGATGATGGATCGGCTTCAAAGTAACAACACTTGGTCAACACCTCAAAAGGAACATTCATGCCGTGTTTGGTTTCATTCCATTTAGTGGTTCTCTAAAAGAAGACATTTGTTAATATTTCCCATAGGGCCACATGTTAAACTAAGTCCACCGCAGGCGGCCATCTTGGATTATGGATCGGCTTCAAAGTAACAACACTTGGTCAGCACCTCATAAGGAACATTCATGCCATGTTTGGTTTCATTCCATTCAGTGGTTCTCTAAAAGAAGACATTTGTATGTATTTCCCATAGGGTCCTATGTTAAACTAAGTCCCCCACTGGCGGCCATCTTGGATGATGGATCGGCTTCAAAGTAACAACACTTGGTCAGCACCTCATAAGGAACATTCATGCCATGTTTGGTTTCATTCCATTCAGTGGTTCTCTAGAAGGAGTTCAAAATGTAAAAAGTTAACGACGACGGACGACAAGTGATGAGAAAAGCTCACTTGGCCCTGTGGGCCAGGTGAGCTAAAAACTGACAACACCATGGGGGGGGGATCTCAGGTGATCCAGAAGGGTAAGCAGATCCTGCTTCACATGTGGCATCCGTCAAACCCGGTGATAAGTCTAATTCCGTAGGTCACATTCAGGGAAAAGGGGACTGGATTGTAATTATGACAATTGGAACATATCTGTCGTCTTCTGTGAAACAGATATTCCATAACGGTCAACCAACTCGTGATGGCATCAATAAAATTTACGACAGGATGATTTCAACTTCACCACTTGGAACTCTTGGTTTAATAGCTTCCTTGTGAGCAGCAACCCTCTATCAAGGAAGTCATGATAGGAAATACAAGCCCTGGAATATCGTATCAACTAGGAGATATATACTCTGTATTCAGGCGTTGCTGGAATGTTGCTACATAGAAAGGGAAAGTTCACATTTGGGAAGCTGAAATCATCTCTTTCGTCGGAAATTTTTGTTTTCAACCAACCCTCAATTTCTAGATGTAAGTCAAGAGATGAGGCAGACTTAACTCTATCTGTTGTATCCTTTATCTCAAGTTCGACTGGATAGATGCGTTTAACATAGTCACCAAATTTTGAATTATTTATTAACAGAACATCATCTATATAGCGGAAAAAGAAGTTAAAGGATACTGCTAACTTCTTTTCTTTCTTCCTAAGAAGTTCCTGTATGAAGTCAGCCTCATATGAATAAAGGAACAAGTCGGCAAAAAAGGAGCACAGTTGGTTCCCATGGGAATGCCGATTGTGTTTTGTTATGATTACAAAACCAAAAAGTAAACAGATCTTTAGATTAATATTACTAAGAAGTGTGTAAAATTTTAAGCAATAATCATAAATCGTTTTTGAGATATGGTGCGACATGTGAAAAACCCTTCCCCTTTTTAACCAAATACTCAATAACTCAAAAATAAAATTTTGAATTATCACCAAAAAGTATACAGATCTTAAGATTAATATAACTAAAAAGTGTGTAAAGTTTTAAGCAATAATAATAAATTGTTTTTGAGATACGGCGCGACATGTGAAAAAAACACACATCTGTTTTAGTTGCTATGTCCCGTAACTCAAAAAGTTTTAATCTTATTTTCACCAAAAAGTATACAGATCGTTTGACCATCATAAGAAACAACTATCTTAAGTTTCATGCAATTTGGATAAGTCGTTCTCAAGTTACGGTGCGACATGTTTACGCCGGACAGACAGACGGATAGACGGACAGACGACATTTGTATACCAAAATTTTGACGGGCGTATAAAAATGAAAAAGAAACCCATTGTGATACATACAGCCATGCATTAAGAATAATGACCCGTAGTTTTTCTGACCTAAGTGGTTGTGGAGGCTCCGTTTACATGTTTTCAATAAAAGAATATACGCTGAGTGTACGACAAATTATCCTGTTTCTCCTATTTTCTTTTCATTCATGAAAAATATAACATTTCCGCGACAAAGTTGAATAAAACTTAGTTCAGTGATAGAAGGGGTTGAAAGTGTTACGACCAAAGAGGCCGGGTAGGGTTATCCAACTCTGATATATTTATTTAAATGTAGTTAATAGTGGCGAAACCTCACTCCCTTGATACGAAATGAGTAAAACCGAAGATCTAGTAAAAAGAAGGTAAATCAAGAGACAAAAACAAAACCGAGGACTAAAATAGCACAGAATGACAATGGACACACAAACGCCGAAATTTAAAGACAATTAAAATAACCGGACCCATAAAAAGGGGGGACGAGGATAAGGACTCAGCAGTTGCAATATGCATGTGTATCAACTCCAAGGCACTGAGACAAATATCCCGCATGAGAAGAATAATCGCCGGAATCTAAACGGACAACCACAAATGTTATCGAGAATGGATTTGGTCTTTTGGAGAAAATTAACCCATACATGACAGATGCAATGTTGGAATAATGAGCTGTCTGCATAATGAGATGACGGAATAATGGGATGTAGGAGTAATGGGCTGTCGGAATATTGGGATGTCGGAATAATGGGATGTCGGAATAATGGTTGTCGGACTAACGGGATGTCACCAAGGATATTGCCCAAGTTGATGGCATCAAGACCTTTGTTGGCAAAGGAAAGTTTTAGAAAGGATGTTTTCTCCTTTTCATCTTTTCCAATGTGAACTGGTTTGAAAAGTCTGTGACCGGCAATATCCGAGATGATAGCTGTAAGTTTGTATTGGTTTAAATGGAGGTTTGTAACAGTGGTTTCCAAACATAAGTTGTACAGAGAATAAATAAAGCTTTGTGCTTGTATAAATGGCAGTAGGTCATTAGTAGAGACATCATGGAGAGTTGGTGGTGTATAATGACGACGACTGCGTCTACGTCGAGGAGTAGAGTTGAAAATGTTCACATCATTCACCGAGCTACAGGAAGGACTAAATAGAATACCTATACCATCAATTTTGTCATTGCAACCATATGGTGTCGCAGTTCCCAATTGTCGAATTGTTAGTACTGTGGTATATTTTTTCGATGATGCGAACTTGCATAGAAAGGAATGAATGATCAGGCTGATTAAAATGCTGGTAAACAGGGTCGCTTGCATTGTTGTTGATGTCTGATCTATGACCGCACATATGTTCATTACGCCTTCCTTTCGTTTCACCAACATATACCAATCCGCAAAGTTTACATTCTAATTTTTGTCATTAGTATGATGATCTGAATGTGTCATATTTGTCATGTCTGGTGAGCAGGGGACACCTGCCATTTCAGACTACACCGTGTCCATGGTGACGTTTGTAAAAAAGTCTACCAAAAGAAGTCCCCATAGACCCCATAATTCTGTTATTTAATTATTTAATATATTTATATACCATTTGGGAGCTGCTTTACCAAACAGGTAATGAGGCATATGCACAATATCATTGCAGAAAGATCAAAGACAAAAAGCTTATTATAATACTCATTTCGACCTGACCACCATTATATATAGAAAAACGTGTATTAGACTCTCTCTGAAATATATTGACCCAGGGAGACACAGAGCAACTCATCTTGCTGGATATGGATGACATGAGAAAATATAGGTTTGACCCTCAGAAATTCAGCCACTATCATTCATTTTGTCTTTTCATTATAAGGAGTTGACTGACAACTTTGGGCCCATGTTGACTTATTTGCAGAATTTAAGCTGATTATATTGCTATTAACATTTTTTCTTTAAATAGACCAGGCTTTTTTTTTAATTTGTTGGTTTACAAATTTTTGATGTGAAAGATTCTATTTGGTTGGTCAGAAAAATAATAATAACAAAAATATTTTACAAGACATAAAATAAATACCAGTATCTATAGAACTACTGTGTCCATCTTTTTTTCAATATTTGCATTCTCCTTTTAGTCATCATTCCTTAAATTTTAGTGCCAAATATTTTTCTCAGCAGTTTTAAACATCAATGCATGTCATCACCAATTAAGTTCAGTAAAGGAGGGTATGTGCATTTCTCAAAAGGACATACATGGTCATTTTACGATGAACGAAAAATAAAAAATAGTTAAAGGTTGCATTTCTGTAAATATTGACAATGCAATTTCCCATAAGAACTTCTTTTACGGCTTAAACTGTGCCAC